CAATTGGTTTATACAATTTATAACAGAAAATGTATATCTAACTCCCTGGTATTATAAATATCTTTGACGCGGACTTTTACAATATTTTTTTACGTAAATTACTTAAAATATTTGCAAATCAGATAAATATTTAAATTAAGCTATTAAAATATTTATATCGTTGTACATGTTCTTTCGATAAAGTACTAAAGTTCCTGTTATTTAAACATTTTCATAATTTATAAGAATTCAAAATTGAATAATACGTCATAGTTTGGCAGACCATCTTATATACGTATTTAAACGGAAGACTTCATAAGCAAGCAGTTTCTAACAACAATAGCTTTCACGTGTACTGTCCGTAGTAAGTATGGTCTATTGTAACAACAACCCAAGAGCCATTCTCGCATATCATGGTATTAAGTCCTATTCAAACTACATAAGACGTCATACGTTGCCAACTCCAACAGCTCTCAACATCGAATACACTACCAAATATCATCTCGTTAATGATAAGCGGTTTTCAAGGTAATATTCATTTAAAATACACAATAAATAAGAACGTAAAGTTATAATTATCAAATTTCAAGGTACTATTTGTTAATCAACTCTACACACACACATAAAAATAATTATAAAAATTAATTTCATGTAATTGAATTAAATAAACAAAACTAGCTGTACGATATAATAATATACGGGATGAGAATCACTATTTGCATCTTCGATATTTCTCTCTTTCTTTTCATTCTCCTTTTATGTTGCAATGCATTCGATCTGCACACCGCGCTTATTCGAAGTAAACGTTTTGAGCGAACTCTAAAATCTGCAGATCGAAATTTGCTTGGATAAAACGCGAGATCGCGCGAGACGCGTAGCGTGTCAACGTGTCTCTCTCTCTGCAGCTGCGAATGGGGTTTCTCGTTAAACCCCGTATGAAGTACCGCGTTTCAACCCACGGCAAGGCTTCTCAGGTCGACTTCTTCTCCTAGGTATGGGCAAACATTTGCTTTCCGTAGTATCAATTCCGCGGTATAAGGGACGCGGTTGGTGGGAGAATCGTTATACGCAGGAAGTATCTGCAGGGTCGTTCTGGTGCGGATCGAGCGGCGTAAAGAGGGCATAAAGCACCGGAGCTCCATTACTCTGCCTTAGTAAATCGGTACCGACGCTGAAGATCGCGCGCGCGACCCAATTCCGGCCGTTCCCCCTGTTATACCTAATACCGTATTTTATCAAAGATAATGCGCGCTCCCCCACCGTTGAATAGACACCCGTATTGTCACCATGGCCACGCGAAAATGCCCGCTAAAGGGCACGAAAACGGCTTATAAATTGTTTCCTGGCTATTGCGGGGGATCGGGGAAACGGGGAAAGTTTTGAAAAATGGATTCTCGATAAACGAAGACTATTTGTTGCCTTAAACAAGCGTATTACACGTATTAATAGCGCCGTCATATCCGGTTATTGATGAAAATGCACTTTTCCCATCGATTCTTTTTGCTCTGTGAATAACAAGACCGCAATAAAAAAAGCAACAAAGGTTTATTATACTTTTTCCTATTGTCAAGTTCCTGGAGTTTTTTTTATTCGTAAAATTTCTTGATTTATTTTGTTTCTTCGATAATACTTTACAATGTTACGATACACTAACGTGAATGATTGATTTAATAAAAAGTGCTAACGAATTATTTAAAATATGAATGTGCGCGGAAATTACCTAATACTTAATTTTTACTACGGTATAACGCGATTTTAAAAATTGAGAAACTAAAATTGCAATAACATTCAAATTTTTTAATATTAAAAGGCGTTTTTTTTCATAGTTTTTTTGATAAAACTGTGACAATACTGTAAAAAAAAATAGTGTTTAAAGAATAGACATTGTAAAACAAATATGAATCTATACAAATAAAGTGAAGTAAATACTTTTACTTTTATTAATCAAATAAAAAACTATATGAAATATAAAAATAAAACTGTTAGAGCGTTTGCTTGTATTCGAAGCCAAAGCAGTTGTTCTTATAAAAAGAAGTTATAAACTACGCATGTAAAATGAAAATAAAAATAAAGAAATATATACCGTTTGTGAGAATAAATCTTTTCTAATACAACAATAACATTTTCTAATACAACATACAATGACAAAATATATTCTTTCTTCAAATATATTATTAGACTCGTGAAAATGTCAATAAATTAATTACAAGACGGCGATACGAGTCAAGCGCGGTACGTGGTGCGCAACTAGAGAATTAATATATAGTTACAGAAGTAACGAATAACAATATACGTATATACGTATATACGTATATACATATATTCCAACTTAATAAACTGCGCGCCGATTATTTGTCGGACTAGAAACACAGCTATCGTTGGAACTTTGATACTCTTCCTTCCTTGTTCCAGGTTCGAATCCTGGCTGAGGTAATATTTTTCGCAATAATTTCTTTAGTTTTTTTAAATAATTAAATCGTATAGATTTAATTCCGGGGAGAGAAGAGTATCAAAGTTCCAACGATAGCTGTGTTTCAAGTTCGACAAATAATCGGCGCGTAGTTTATTAAGTTGGAATATATGTATTATATACGTATATACATTGTTATTCGTTACTTCTGTAACTATATATTAATTCTCTAGTTGCGCACCACGTACCGCGCTTGACTCGTATCGCCGTCTTTTAATTAATTTATTGATATTCTTTCTTATTTCGTGTTGCGCGAAAATTACAAGTATATTACGTATACATGACTCGTAAATGATAATTCTACAGATGCATTCTTCTATGTGGCTACGTTATGAATACCTATTATCACATCGATGAGGAAAGATGCTTTGTAAAGCGAAAGATTATTCATGAGAAACATAGGATCAGCTCTTTGCTTTTCTTGTCCCTATCTCTGCTAAAAGCATGCAATTTCCTTCGTATTTATATATTATCATACGTTAACAAAGTTAGCATAAAGTTCCATACGATCGAGTCATGCATCAAATTAATGGGTAATTCATCTTAATGCTATTAATTATGACCGGAAAAATTGAATACGGTTCCCGACTCATAATACAATTAAAGATAATACAATTAAAGATTCACGTGAATGGAAACTAGGGACATTGTCCGGATATCAGCAAAATGGTGATCCGAAAATAATGAATATGCCAGCTCGATCATTTGAAATCTTAAGCGAACGTTATCCAGCATTTTATTTACAATATGTATCGATGTATAGCACAGGACGGTATTCGCCGCGCGTATATCTAATTTGGAAACACGAGGAATGCCGAGCATCATAACGACATTAATAACGAGCGGGAGAGAGTGTCGAGTTACGATGGGTTGCGTTGCTGTCTGCAGGTGCGCGAAGCGCGGGATGGGCGAAGATAGCTTTCGTCAGCAATGAGCGTGATCACGTATACAGCAGTCGAGTACAAGCTAACCAGCCAGCGAGGCAAGGTGGGATATCAGCAAGCGGCGAAACAAAGTTTATTTTGAATCAGCCACGGCAACCCCCGGAGTCGCACTATGCCGGCGAATAACACCACGAGTACCGCAGCAGCCGCGCGGAGGAGCGTCGTCGGTGCAGCGTTCGACGCTCCTACCGCAGAGCTCCCGGCTCTCAACATCGGCTCAACGGACACAGACAGACAGAAGCGGAGCTTGCGCGACCCGGGGATGGGTCGGGGGAAAGGGGATAAACAGAGAGAAGCAAGCGAAACGAGAGACGGGAATGAAGGGAGCGAGAGGTAGGTCGGGGAGAAGTGTGCGAAGGATGGTCTAGTCGACGATGGTGATTGTTACGGCGACGACGTTTCAGTTAGCTGAAACGTCGTTTCCTTTGTCGCGTCTGTGTGAGGAAGGAACTTGTCCTCGATGAGGTGTACGGACGTGCACGCGTACCAGCGGACGTAGCGCGTAACCGTCATACCACGTATACCGTACAGCCGTACATACAAACAGCCGCGCACACGTGCGCGGCCGGCGCTACACGGCCGGGGGTGGAAGGGGGAGGAGGGAGGGATACACAAACACCGGATTCCCGAGGCTTCTCGGTGCGGTATATGCTCTATCTCACGGAGGGTGGTTGGATGTATCTTGCTTGCCCGCGCGCGGTATTCGTCGCGCAAACTTCGGGCTCCTGCACGGGGGCGCCGTTCGTGCTCCTTCTAAGACTTCGCCTCGCAGTCGGGCTGTATAGCGGCAGAGAACCGTAGAGATCTCGATTCGGGTTAATTGTGGGCTTCGTCTATAGACTCGGTGCTCGGGCAATGAATTTTAGGAGGCGCGCGCGCGCGCGCGCGCGATATCGCCTCGCCTCGCCGTGCCGAGGAGGCGAGAGGTCGGACGGGGGGTGAGCACCGACAAGCGGATATATTTATGCGCGCTCGTGGAAATTCTTCGATCTGATTGCGAGCGCAATTGCCAGGGGAATGAAAACGTCTGCATTTAGCGAGGTACTGTTTTCAACGCGCTGCAAATAAGACCGCAGTTGTTCGTAGTAACGGCGTATACTTTACGCTTGATAGAAGCAAGTATATCTAAGTAATTAAATAGAGCACAAACTTGAAAAAGCAAAAGTTTAAAGATTTTATAATTGAAGAGACTGAAGGATAGCGTCGAAAGTGAGCGAATGAAATGTTTTTACCGTCCTCGAGTTATATATTAAGTTAATTAAACATATTTTTACATAAAGAAATAAAATTAATTTTGTTTGAAAGAAATTACCGTTTAATTTTTAGCAATGTCGATAAATTTTCTTACCTTCTTATTTGTAAACAAAAATTAAAATGCAAATGTTGGTATTGAAATTATTCCGTCTTTGTCAAATTTCACATCGTAAACCGTACATATTTGTGAATACAATTTTTGCCAATTTACCTTCACTTGCACGATGTGCAAGACTGCGTCTGTTTTAATCCTGTAAATTGAAAAAATATTAAATGTTTATATTAAAAAATTGTTAACACACAACGGAATAAAAATATCTGTATAAGTGAGGTATTGTTCTCAATCTGAAAGGCAGTAGTTCATGCAATAGTTTATTTTGCTTGTTAAAAATAAGTATTTACATGAACTAAATAGTAATGCTGAAAAACAATATTGTAATGACATAAAAGATCTCTTAAAATTGAAGACACTTAAATAGAATTTAAAATCCGACTTAACAAAAATATTTCTATTTATCTTATTTCTAACTTATATTAAGAAGTTGTAACTTCTTTGTATATATCGGCAAACCTTGTATAGTAAATCGGGTTTTTACCTCGTCTATTCATTTATAAAAACAAACTGCGCTCGCAAAGATTAACTGTTCTCCAAAAAATTGTCTTGTCTACGTTATATTTTATTCGCGAATAAAGCTTCCACAAAATTACCCATTAGCGCATTTGACACATTCATTTACAAAGAGTTATACTTCTTCGTGCCCTAACTATATAAATTAAAAAAAAAAAACATCTAAAAACAAGATGTCAATAACACAACTTGTAAAAACCGTATCTACTCTGCTTCCGCATTCAAATTAAAACTTAACGATTATGGCCATAAATTATTAACTCTACAACTTTCAAAAAACGCACTTCGTCCAAGAAGATACCGACAGTGTCGATTTTCGCGCGGAATATTAGCACGTCCGGCCCTACGATTTGGCGCGATTTAGCGTACCAGGCAGGCAGGAGGCATCGGTGAATTCGCTTGCATGAGAAATAAGGGCTGTAGCTCCGCGCGATGCCTTCCGTGCAGTTTCACGCCGATACGCATTACTTCGCGAAGATTTGTAAGCGGTCGCGAACGTGCCAAATGCTGTGGTGTGCGCGCGGGAAGGGAGCGAAAGCTGGAAGGAAGAGAGGAAGAGACGTTCTACCCCGAGGGTGGGATAGGGGGGTTAATACGGACGATTTCTGTGTTCGGGATGGAGGAACAAGCTGCGCGTATATAGCTGCCGGCTTATAGACGCGCGGAATCGTCCACGAGGTTTATCGTCCGTTTAATAAAGAGGAGGCAGGCGGTGGGAGAATGAAAAACGCAACGTTCGTGCCGTCTTTTCCAACGCGCCTCTATCTCCGCGCTTTCCTCTATCTCCTTCGATAAATCGAGCCCTCGAAACGGAGCCTGTCTCACGATTATATGCCCGACGACGTCGTACACCTGCAGCTAGTTTTAACACGAGGATTCAGCGTTGCGGTCGTCGGAGATCGATAAAACGCGTCGTCCAGTTACAACGGTACGTTTTCAAAGTCCAAGAAGAGAGAGAGTATTAAAGCAGCGAGAACGGAACACGTATCTCTTGTCGCGTTTAAAAAAATACGAAAGATAAAACAGTCCGATCGGAAGTATCTCTTTGGCACGGCGTCATTAAAGAGCGAACAACAAACTCGTTGGAGAGCGGTCGAACACTAACAATTGGCGTAAGTACATGTAACTGCTCGTCTACGGCCGAGTTCTTCCGCGGCGGTAGCAACAGCAACGGCAGTAATAGCAACTACGTTGTTCTCGTAGCTTCGTACATAGAACGCGAAAACGGGGGAACTTAGCAAAAAAAAGGTAGAAAAAAAGAAGAACTAGCAGTCTGATCCCGCGTGCGCGTCCAGAGCCCTCCGCTTCGAAAATTCGCGACATTGATTCCGCCTATGCAGCCGAGCCCGGGAGCGTTTGGACAATGGACGAATGGACTCGAATCGCCATCCTTGGCGAGTGTAACGGGGAGATATTCGAGTGCGCATCGAGTGCGTTGTTGCCGGGGTACACGGAAGAGCGGTACGATTTCGCGGAACGGGAGAGAGCTCGCGCTCTCTTTCCCTCTCGGTATGCGAAAACTTTTCGCGCCGCTTTATCCGTGCCTCTTCCTTTGTGCGATCTCTACGGCTTGGCTCTCTTCTCTCGTCAGTGGTAGCGGAAGAGAACGTCTCTCACTCTCTCGTTCACTCGTACACACGCGCGCACACATACACACATTTTCTCTCTCTCTCTCTCTTTCGAACTCTTTCTCTCGCGGCAAGGATCGCAAATCTTTCAGAGGCGGGCTGTACAAGCACCTATACACGTATACGTGCAATCGACTTCAAAGTCCTATCCCTTCCCTTCTTTCCTCGCTGTCGTTCTACTTTTGGGCAAATCCTTTACGGTTCATTACTCGTCAAATGTCAACCTGAACGTCGTAACGGTAATCAGACGCGACTAATTGGCTACGCTTCTCGATTCTGCCGTATAAATTTTGCGTCACGGCGAATCTCCCCCAACGGCGGATTTGGCTACGACAATCCTTCATCCGATTATCTGTTTCTCCACTGGTCACGATCCAATCCAGAGTGTATCTAGGGACACACCCTTGACTGACAACGCGAGCCTCGCTGTTCTCTCTTGCTCCTCCATATACCACGCGAAAGGACAAACGAAAAACAATCCGTGCGTACCGGCACCGTCTTACAAAATAACGAGTTATACAAAAGACACGGTCGTAAAGTACATAACGGTAACGGTCGACGATCTCACGGTCGGCAAAAGTATCACATGTTAAACACGTCGTGTCCTTTTGATTCTGATTATAATTGGCAGTGCTGCTCACAAAATGGTTCACCGAAAATTGACATCGCGCTGCTGTCAACGGGGGGTTGCAAACAGGGAACATGCAGAATTCACGATCCTGACCCGTTCAGAGAGAAAAAAATCAATAACTTAATCCACTACAGAGAACAAAAAGAAAACACTTAAATATAATCATATATTGATTGAATAATATTATTTGTTTCTGCGCCGTCCATACGCGGTCCTTAAACCCTGCCTCCATCGTCTCTTCCTCCAGCCTCGTCTCCCGCTGACTAGTGTGCTATTTATCATGCGACGCCCGTGAGCTCCCTTTTCGTGGTCTCAGGCGTGCCGTGACTATCTCAGAAGCAGATGGAGCGTGCCCAGGCAGAGTATTGTCACAAACGTCATTGTGTGCATGCCACCGCTTCCGTTCTCTGAGGTTACTGCAACACATGTTAAAAAGAAGTTACCGTTTCTCGTCATTCCGTCAAACAGCGAGCATTTCTGGAATGTTAATTATCATGCAGTGATTTTTAGAGGGGCAGAGATAATTTGTAATACTAATTGTAAGTAGAAGTATTGTATAATCGAAATATTTATAATACTACACTCAAATATAAGAATTAATTCGTAGCGGTTTTATACAGATAGAAAACAGTTGTTTGTAACTATATTTTGTGTTTGGGTTTTATGTGCGCCACTCTGTACAACGTAAATAGATTCATACATTTTTAAAATATCTTTCTAACTTTTTTAAATAACATTTAGCTCTTTTAGATATTATATATGAATATTAGAAACAAAATTCTACTTTATTAATGCCATATGTTAAAAGAAAACCATAAGTTGCGCAACGTAATTGCATTTAAAAAAATAATAAAATTTCCTGTAATATTATAGTATCTAGTTGAAAAAAAGTTAAAAAGTTAATCCTATATAATAGATTATCTCTTTTTTAATACTCTCCCTAAATTCTCCTATAACAATCTAAAATTAAAACTATGCATTGGAAATGGATTATGCTTTTTATTATTCATCATATTATAAAATAAAAAAGATCCAATAAAAAAAGAGAAAGCTTTTCCAAGTTGAACATTTCGCCGCAAACTCTACGCTGCATTCAAATTTCTAGTATCTTTGCAGTGCAGAATTTATATGCGCTACGTGGTCTCTATTTGCACGGAACGATGGCACGTATCGGCGTGTCGTTCTCGTTGAAACTTAATTCTTTTTTTTTTTGCAAAGAGCTTTTTTGCGTTAAATGATTTACACAGAAATTTGCACGGAGTATATTGCAAAAAATGAGATAGATGAGCCGAATGATGATGCCCGGCGTGACCGGATTATTGATTGGTAAACAACACATTCTGCATTACATTTCATATCATATCATTAAAACGTCATCATTATGCTGCGCGACATTCAAAATCGACAAGCCTATAATCAATAACAGCGACGATAATGACGCGTGTCTCCGTCGGACGAAATGCGCAGGAAATCTGATGAATAGATATCAAATTCATCGAGAAATGTGTCGCCGATAATCAGTTGATTTTAGTTCGGTTTGTACATTATCGGTATCATGAATATAACATGCGTGAAAACTAAGCGCGCATGGACATTCGACACGATTCTAATGTTGACACGTTGACAGATATGCCACGTGCGAATATTATTGCAATCCACATCAGTATATTTCGCACACGATAATGTAATAATACTACACTTTATCCACTTCTGATAACTCGGAAAAGGATGGTCGAATTATTTCAAACATTTCGCGTTATAATAAATAAATTCTACGATCTAAAATTCTAAAATTTCACTAAAAAAGACTAAAAAAAAAGATAGATTAGAAGAAAAAAATTAAGAAATGCTTTTAAAATAATTATAACATTCTTTTAATAATTTAATAACAAATCTACATATCCAGTGCCTTTTATATATTTTAGGATTTTAATAATCAAGACCATCAAATCAAGAGAAATTAAATCCTGTGTTATAAATCTGTAATGATTCAAATAAATGTAATTTTTATTTTAAATTATTCTATTAGCGCAAACTTCGCTGTCATAAGATATATTTGGAAAAGAATCGCGTTTCTCTATTCCTTCCTATAGTTCGGTACAACCAGATAAAGGACTATATTTAAAATAAGTTGAAATGACATATATATGTATGGAGTTATTGGGGAGCGATTTCGCGTAAAACGACATTTTTCTTCCTGTTCAAGATTAAATCTCTCTGGCAGGGCGCGGCGTGTCAACTGTTGAAATCCCTTTCGGAATGGAAACTCTGACGTGAGGGAGGGGGAGGGGGGTGGTGCCATTAAGTGGAACGTCAGTGGATTTTCCTCCGCGGGGCATTGTTCCTTCTGTCGGGTAGAAAAGTCAATTTCCTAAAAACAATTCTGTCGACCACGGCCCAGGGAGTAATACGTACGAATCAAGCGACCAGCCGCCCGCGGAAAACCGAGTGTGAACGAAATGAAATTACTACGGGCGCGCAGAAGAGAACGAATTTCTGTAACGGCGGCAACGGGGCGGTGCGCGGAGGAGAGGAAACGGTAAAGGGGACTAAAGTGGAATATAGCCCCGACAGGTTTGAAAATTGAGAAGAGCCAAAATCCTTTGGTCGCTTATCAATCGTCGGGGTTTACGGTATACGTTCTTCCCCCCCCCTCCCCAGTCTGCTCCCATCCCATTTATCCCAAAATGTACGAGTTTTGCCAACGATGATGAAATCGCGAACGCTCGGATCCCAGATAGCGGACTCGATAGCGATCGTTGATATTACTTTTGGAATATTCCGCTCGCAAACATAAAAAAAAAACCGACGTATAATCTGATCATCTCTGACGGTTGATATCGCTATGCTGTACGCATTACGCAATACTTTTTTATGCATATTTAAATATTCTACGAAATACTGATGTACCGGAATATCCAGTGGTCCAGACATTGAAAACGTTTCTCTCTCGACTGCGGGCTGTTTGACCATTTTAAAGTTGATTTTCCATTCCGTTCCAAGTTTGCTAAAGAATTTATAATCGAGAAAATCCGACGTGAAGACGCAATACACACTTTCTCTTTGTATTAACTTCGCGTGAATATGCATGAAATAAATGGTGAATAGACTTTATACAGAATTGCTCCAGATACATATAATATTTATAAAGTGTACGTGTGCAAAGTAACCTGCCCGAATGGCGAGGGAAACTTTTACAAACTTCGCAAACGCGAAGTCAGATTTTTCACATGTGCGTGTATGTATAAATTTGCGCGACGTGTGCGTAAGAACAGCTTATGAGGCATCATTCATGGATTTTCGGTAAGAGCCTTTTGAGAGGGATTGAAAGGCTCGTTCGCCACGACCTGAAAAGTGCGCGAGGAGTCTAGGCCGCGACGAAATTCAGAGGGTTCTTGATGCAAAAACTCTTCAGGCAACTTTATGAGCCGGTGCTCGTAAGTTCGTGACACGAGTCCTCCAGAAAAGTTTCGGGGAAACGATTTACTTAGAGTACAACCGAGGTGCGTTTTAAGTTGCACGCATACTTTATCACTCGTATGACATGAAAATCTCCGCGCAATGCAGCGGTAAAATTGTCAAAAATTATTCTTGTAAGATGCATACAATAACGAGCGAATTTTCTACCCGTCACTATTTATGAGTTCGACCGTCGTAAACGCTTACCCAATAATTAAATGCATTTTTTATGTTAAAATGTGTCAAGTTATACGTTTTTCCAAAATAATGAATAATGTACTTGATGTAACTTATATAAATTAAATCATTTCATGTTATCAATTTATTCAACCGAGACGAGTAAATTTCAAAATCTAAATCCTATATTAATTTATATAAAAAAAATAATGAACAGAAAGATAGTGCAGAGAGATACAGCGAATAAGAAATAATGTATAGTACAATATATATAACTATAGAGAATAAAATTATTATATTACTTGCGTGGAAAACATTTTGTTACTTACAACGTATATGTCGCGTAAAGTTTCGAATGTAAATAAACTTATTTTCGCAAAGAATGAGCTCTAATCGAAAAGCTCTCATTTTCCATGTCTTACGATAATCCATTTATTTTCCGGCGCTCGAAACTAATCGGATATTCACAAGTAATCAGAAACTCAGTAAAGTTCGACGTAAACCAATAAATTTCAGACACCTGAAGATGGGTTCGTGCACAACTTGAGAACAGAATCCCGGTTTAACGTAGCTAAGGAAAATTTCCTGTACTGTTTTGGTTTGGGTGTTGCACCCCTGTTCCGCAAGCTTTCTTTGAACGGTATCGCCCATTAGTCGAAGCTCAACTGCTTTGAGAGCGGAGTTTTACAAAATTGTGACAATTCGGATAAACGAGTCGTCTCTCGAACATCTCGGATCTCTTTAAGAAAATAGCTTGGGGCATTATTTTCTTTCCTGTAAATTTTTTCTCAGAATGTTGGCACTCGAACGGCATTATTGGGATTAAAATATCGCAAAAAAGATTTATCCTAATCGGTCTTGAAACAATCACCTACATGACATTTTCAATAATGATAATAATATCAGTGATCAATCACCTTGGGCTTTCGCGTAGGTGCTTCCTGGCGCGTGCAACGCGCGATATTTCCCTATCTGTCCGACGAGAAGAAGGCTGTGACTACTGTACGCGAAGCCGGGAAGCCGATAAGCGTCTTCCAGGATGTTAGTCGATCGGGGAGCGTCGCGCGTTTTTTCCCCCGGCTGATAGTTTACATGGGAACAAGAAGGGCCGGATAATCGGGTATGCAAAGCCTTGATAACACCTACTCTTAAAGCGCGGGGTACCTGCGTTACCATGATCCGCGCTTCCGGGCTCGGATCGTGGCGCGAAATTATACATGCGACATGTATAGAGGGTGTCTCAGGAGTCAGGGCACTTGACCTAAATACCAAGCACTAGAAGCTAAAATAGCAAGAATAGCTTCATGAGTATGTCGAGAAATGTAATCGAAACTTAAAGGATCTTTATAGGTTGCTAAAAAAATGTTCGTCAAAATACAATTGTTAAAAAGATTTCATGTAGTCGTAGCAGCGTTGAATTATAAAATGGACAATTCACACGAAAAGCTAATAAGAATTTAATTACATGAGCGAATTAATTAAATATCATACAGTAAAAATAATTTGCGGAGACGCGTTGGGAAATTATTCTTAATTGCATCTTGTCTCAAGTCGCCCTATATATTTCTCTGTGTGTACTCAAACGCAAAATACACACGGATACACTGCGGCGGCGCCGCGGCGGCGTAACCTTTGACTGCAGACGAGATGGCATCTCTCATACCTGAAGATGTTCAGATCCCCCTTTCTTCCTGCCTCGTTTGTCGTCGTACATGTGAGATTAGCGTCCCGGGACTGGGATAATTCGCGAAGCCAGTAGAGAGATAGGAAATAGAGAAGAGTAGAGAAAGAGAGAGAGAGAGAGAAGGGACGTCGAGAGAACACGATATCGAAGACGAAGCGAGAAGGAAACGGGACAGAAGAGCCGAAGTTTCGCCGTGAGGACCGACGTCTTGTTCCGAGCAAGTTTCTCCAATGAGGTACCGAATCTTTCGTGCCTCGTACCATTGGCGCATGTGAGAAACGGAAACGGGGGAGTCGGACGGGGGGCGTATATCGAGATCCACGGGACTTTCGCAGCAGCCCGCCGTTGAACTTCCGCGTACACGACGTGAGTTTTTCTATGCGAGTACGAGAACTCTCCGAGAGACAATCTCGCATAATGCGCGCGAGAACATTACGTGACATCATCCTCTCTGGGTGAGCAGGTTTTCTGTTTCGAAACGCGATTTTATTCTTGCATGCAGAACTCGCAAATGCAAAACAAATGTCAATAAACATTAATGCAGAATGTTCGACGTGAATCAATTATTACGGTGCGTTGTTTGTCGTTTCTGCACGTAATTTATTTCGAGCGCATTTGCGGATCCAATTATGTTTTTAATATGCCTACATGTATCTACCCTCAATTGAGAGATATAAAATGCTGGCAAGTATAAAAGCATCGTTATCAATTTGACAAATTTCAATTTGCAGCACTATATAAATGTGGTGAAATAAATCTTATATCAAATATCAATTTACATATTATTTATTTATTTATTTTTATACTCTGTCCCAAATATTATTAATGTTGCACGCGCGCTCTGCAAGTACAATACCGAGAGATGATAAAATGTTGAATGCGTATGTCAGTTGGACATCATATAGTAATTGATGTAAATGCTATTTGCAAAATGTATAGCTGTAAAGGGTACATCAAGATTTATGCAAAAAACATTTAAACCTACATTGTTAACAGCAGCTAGCTTTCTATTAACTATATCATAAAAATGAATAAAAAAAAAAATTGAAAAAATATAATTTACACTGAAATAACGTCGTATCAAATTAGCAGATATCGTGCAGGCTTAATGCTATTCTACCATGTCGGTTATATCGATGTTGCACATATAAATCGGATACTCGATCCATATAAACGACGCGAGCTATTGAGATAAAAAAAAAAAAATCAACGTAGCGGAAAATACTATTTTTGTGGTCGCTTTTATTTTCTGTAAATGTCACAGTCTTTTATAGAATGCTGCATGCGACCGGCGCTTATTAAATGTTATCGGGCAAACGTCATTGAAAATAAAATGAACGTACCGCTTCCGCGCTGGAATATAGACCACCGGCCTTTTCAAAATAAACAAATATGAGGTGAACCAAACTCTCCCCGGTAGCTTAACAATACAGAGGGATCGACAGATGCGAATAACATTTAACGAAAAATGTCAAGGGGCTAATACACAGCCTAGCAGAAGTGATTACGATATCGTCATATCTAACACGCGCGCTACAACCTTTGATAAATGCTGCTATGTGCTAAAATCGAAATTTTTATATGTTTCGCAATCCACGTTCCCTTCCCCCGCCCCTCTGCGATTTATTAAATTCACGCTGCTGGCAACTGGTCAACCCCGTATACGGAATTGAATGCGAGCGCGTTAATTTCGTTTCGCGTACAAATGGCTTTCCTTTATTTTCACAAATTGCGAATGTACGTACGTATACTTCGACAGCTGGGAAAGGGATTACCCCACATTGTGTGTCAAAATGTTTTATCGATGTCGACGACGGAATTTATCAGCGCGTGATGACTAATGGATCCGCGTCTCGTCTGGAATCGAAACTTACGTGAAATTCTTTCGGGAGGATCCCACGGAGAATATTATCATAATTTACGGCGGCCGATGGACATTAATGCCGTTAACAATGGATGCTGCAATATTGTGTACTTCAGCTTCGTATTACGTGTGATATTCCGGTTTACCGCAGCATAGTTGATTACCTATCTCGGAATAACTCTGGTTTACCGCTGCATAGTTGATTGGCTATATCGAAATAACGCGAGTTTATCAGTTCAATGCATTAAAGCGGCACACGCGTTATGTGTCACGTGTTCCGAGTGTTCGTCAGCATTATCCAACGTTATGATAAGAAGTTTTCCGGGGCGCCGCTATATGCCGGCGAATTCATGAACATTCTTCGCACCAGAGTCCACGACAACACCTGCCAACAATTTCTTCAAGTCATCCATCTACTTTGCACCCGCGTTCCACATATTAAACTTCAGTTCACTTCAGCGGAAGGAAATCACTAAAAAGTCTATGGGCAACATTCCTCTTTCATATTACACAAATATTCCATATATCTCTGCGCATACGAAAGCCTCCATTCGCAACGTAGAAATGAGATCTTCAAAATTTCTAGCGTCCCGTGCTATGTTTCACATACGAATTCTTTGATCACTTTAGTGTTGAATTTATCTAAATACTTTGAGTGCCAGATGTGTTTTCTATTGACAATCTCTTAAGTCGATTTAAGAAATTTTTCAAATATTTTTCTTTAAGATGTTTCGTAACTTAATTTTTATATTGCCGCATGAAATACAGAAATCCATAAAAGCTATAATTACATTCATATAATTACATATAAAATAAAATAGAATAAAATGTTTGGTAACAAAAATTCGAAAATTTCAGATATATTTAATTAAAAAATTAATACTTATTTGTCAGAAAAAGAAAAAGTGTTTAACGTAAAATAAAAGAGCTTGACGTTGTGTACCAGATCACAGCAATAATAATTTAAATACTGTCATCTGAACGTGTAATGGAAAAAAAAGGAATACGCGGCATTTATTAGCCAACAAACTACACACAATACGGTACATAATGTCAAACAATAGGATTCACGTGCGGCGCCGTGTTTTTTTCTGAAAACAGAAAATATCGTATCATAAGCAAGATATACAATGGACAAAAAAAAAGGGGTACAATGGGGGCTTACGTATTTGTCCGGTTTTTCCCCAACGACGAACTGCACAATACGCAAAAATCCATTAGGTATTTTGCCGACGACCGTCGAACGAACGGAAGTATCCAATCACTCGTATTTTGAGCAGAATCCATTGGAGAGCTAGATTCAAAACACCAGGATATAGATTATCGGCGGACGATACTTTTCGATTCCGCGGGGCACGAATGTGATCATAAAATTGGGATTGCCAACGGAGACATTGGTAACGTGCATCGCATCAATGCAATCTATTGACACACACTGTTGCAGATTCAAAACTAGGTTTCAAACTAGTTCTCTTCTCAGTTCGTGATGCACGGGATCGCAAAATACAATAATAATACAACAGAATTTGTCAAAATTATATATTTGATTATAGTAAAACTACGCGTGAGAGCATTTTTATTTGAACCAAAATTTATAATTACTTGTATCGTTAAGAAATAAATACTTCTTGTAAAAAATGAATGAATATATAATTGACAGATCGTAGAATAAGATGGGGATTTCTATATATCAATATACATATAATTCAATTTCTCGTCAAGTCTGTTAAGTCATAAGAAAAAATATCTTTACAACGGAAAGTAGTTTCTATAAAAATTCAGTAATTTCTGGATGGATCTTATATGGCACGCGTATACACATCGTTAATAATGCAAATAAAAACTTAAGAAACGAAGTTCTTAAGCAATGTTAATATTTTCCAAAATATGCGACAGACGCGACTTCTTCTTTTTTTAATTCAAAGCACTACTCTGCTAATCTGTCTGACCTACCTAGACCGTCGTGAATTATTTCGCATCCACGCGAGATTCACGGAGAAAACGTTGGAATCATTGGGAGTCGCACTAGCGACTCGGCACGTATATACGCGGCGACGAAAGTTGGAACGGCCGCGCCGGCGGGTGTACCGGGCAAAGGGTGAAAGGACGGGTCAGCCGGCCGGAAGGTAATGGGAGCGTAGGTTATACCCGTAGCCGCTCAATTAAATCTCGTCGACGTCGCGTGCAGGAAAGCGAGCGCAGCGTGCACCGGAGGCTTCCTTACCGATTTCGAGTGGGTGGACCCCGCTCTCAGAATTTATTAGTCCGTGCGACCGACCGACTAATTCCAGCTCGGTTAGCCCGAGCGTGCGCGATTATTACTCGCGGAGCGAGTGTGTTGGTTGATCGCAGAATCATCGAGATCGCGAATCACGAAAAGCACGAAAAAGCAATCTAACCTGCCATTATCACTTTCCCACCCGATAATTTTTTCGTTGCACTACATTTGGTATAATTATCGGCACGTTACAAAGAATATTGTAGAAATCCGTTGACAAGCTTGTGTATATAGCGATATACTGTATACTAAGAGACGTTGATCTAATTCTAACCGAACATAATCTAACTTGAACTAAACGGATTTGATCCAATGTGCGCTAATCTTGAATATCCGCTACGTTCAAAGTTTAATTCAAATTATCATTCAAAGTTAGCTATAGATAAACTGAGTACAGTAACGTAATAAGTGTTGAGTGTTAAACTCAGATAAGCTCAGAGAAATATTGAAGACACAAGTTAAATGCAAAATTTCAAAAATTTCTTTTATCTTATAATGACATTTATGTTGTACCATTCGATTTGACTGAGCTGAATAATGATATACGCTATTGTGAAAATCAACGAGTCGCAAAGTTGAACCCGAGATATAAGAAAGCAACTCACAGAACGTCTAAAATTGACAGTTTTTAGGGCGCTATGAAAGAAATAAAAAATAAAAAAGGATTTTTATAGTTACCTCTTTCGGGCACTGGCTCGCGCATACCCGAAAGGAGATGGAGCTCGCTCTGCCTTGTGTATATGCCGGGTATGTGCGCGATGCAACGTAGGTTCAAACGTCCGTTCGTGTAATGGAACGGCTGAAGAGTAAGACTGATCTCGCTCCACTGCGTCCCCTCGTCGTCCTTCGTCCGCTGTTGCCTCGCGGTCGTCTCCACCTGCGACAAATCAAGCGTGAGCCCATCGTCGAGGTACGTGTTAACGTGTGAACGTCGCGAGAAAAGGGATTCGCGAATGCTATGAAGGGCAGGCGGAACGGGTGAGGTAAGGGCATTGAAAAAAGAGAAAGAGAGAGAGAGAGAGCAGAGGAAATGTAAATCTACTTTCAACAATATTCGTTCACCCGGAATCGGGAGGAGGTGAATTTCTGCCCTGTTCCTCTCTCACCCCCTGCCTTTTCGTCATCCCGCGCGTTCAACGTGAGCGTACCCGCGCCAAAGACGAGAGTTTCCACTTCGATGAAAAGTTAGAAGACCCGCTAACGTTCCCTGCCGCCCCGTGTTCTCTCGATTAATGTCCCCCCACCCCGATTTTTCCTCTTCCTGCGTGAAATCGCTTCTCGTCAGGCCGCGGCGGCAAGAAGCGAGCCTGTCGAAAGTATTGGCCAGAATGGCCGAGTTCCGGCTTTCTTAATGGATCATTATTGTCCCGGAAGTCGTGATAGCGTCGAAAGTAAGTTATTCGACTGAATCATACGGTAGAGTAATTTGTAAGTGAATCGTAAAAAGTTTGCCTAAACTTTCCGTTCGTCGATGTAGACGACAAATCGATAGAACTGTAGACATATATATTCGATAATTTTACGCAATGTTTACAAATGCTTTGTATTTTATATTAATTGCAAAAAGAGAAAAAATCGTAATTGATATAGAAAGAGTAAATATCTTTGGAAACGCGTTAGTCTTGATTCATAAAATACAATAATTCAGCGTAAAAGCTGAAACGACTATTTCTGATAAAATTAATTTACTCTCTTATTCAATTACTTATAAAATTTATCTTACTTACTTTCTATTCAAATGTCAGTTAACCCGCAGTAATCTTACGCTTAATAGTTTCTTAAGTGATAATAATCTCAGTAATAACATAATTCCCGATTCAAAGCGTTATGTGCGCACCTGATGCCACTATGCTTCTAGAAGATAGTTGTTATGAAGTTTAACAGCATTCGCGTCGAACCAACGGTAAATTACATAGAACATCCCATATTATATAGATTATAAAGCCAACAGATTGTATAATGCGTATTAATACTTCAATCTCAAACGCTATATTCTGAAATTATTTGGACAATAGAAATAAAACAATGGATCTTTCTGTGTGCGGCGGACTTATTAATATACTCTAATTCTTCTAAGTAGAAAATAAGAATGCTTACAAGTGCGAAGACATAATTACGAGAGAAGCACAACAGAGTCTCTCCAGTTAATCTTTTCAAACTGTAATCAATATTACAATAGAATTGGATCGTAGAAGACTTCTAATCGCGGCCAATCAAACGAAGTCTTAACAAAACTAATCGAATGAACTTCGTAATGAAGTCTTAACAAAACTAATCGAATGAACTTTGTAATGAGGTCACTACCAATGTACGAATGATATTACAAAAATATAATAATCCATGATCTTCTTCTAAACTTCAAATTGATTTAACTTTGTTGAAAAGTTTTTCAACGACGAACTATCGTGAGTACAAAAGAAAAGACTTCCCATTGTTTCATCATTATGTCATAAAGTCCATTGTTTAATTAAATATGTATAGAGTGTATAATTTGTTAGCATAGTCCGTGTTAGACAATAATAACTTAATACAAGTAATTGAATAAATAAAAAATTGATGAGAATTGACGCGAATATCTGCGTATATATTGCATCGTATATGTATATACTCGATATATCAAGTTTAATGTTAGTTGCTGCAAACAATATCGGCGGAAACATGCAAGTATTATAGGAGCACTTGCTGACTTCACATTTTCTCAACTGAGGAATTATGCAATTCGCGCGATCCAGTGTGATATATGGCGGAACGCGCAAAAAAGAATCTCAGCCAATGATTAATGGCCGAGTAGCATTGATACTTATCCCCCCGACGCGCTAAGAGTGCGTCCAGCCGAATATAAATTCCGCTTTTTAAACAGCTACCGTGAAATTCAATCTCGGAGGGAAGCGAGCGAAAGTGATTACAGCGGTTGAATACAGATTATGAGAAGGCGGTCGCTACGTCATATTTAAGCGCCCCGGATTTTCTTTGTGAGCGTCCAAAGGAAGGGCTATATCTCTTTTTCCCACCGGCACACTTTCGTGTCCCGCGTGCTATGGAAAAATTGAAAAAAATAAGAAAGAACGCGCGTTTGAGTATACCTAACGGATCGTGAAATTTTCTATTATGAGATTAAATGCGCCAGTCTTATCGAAGAAAAGATCCACTCTAATATTACCGTCGCGTGGTGTAATCAAAGCTTTGATGCGACGCCATCTTCCCAATGTAATATCTAATAATATCCTCACGCGAGTTTGAAAGAAAATTCGACTGATCTTGCATAAAATTGCAAAACCGTAAAACGGACGGTGTTTCAATTTGTTCTTAAATCGAACTGGATGATTCGACAAACGAACGGTTCGTTTGTACGATCTCCGCAAAACTTTCTTTTCGATCTTTTAATTGCCTACTCTCGTCAAAAGTTTCATGGATGTGCTTTTTTAAGCCACGTACCTTTTCAAGATTCTTTGGCAAATTTAAAGTTGATTCTTTAATGATCAAGATTTTTATTACCATTTTTTAAAGAAACTTCTAATTTCCAGTACTACATATTTTTTCTATATAGCTAAGCCTCAAATTAAAATTCTAGTAAAATAAAAAAAAAATTACTTTGATCTTGTATCTCTCGTTGTTTTTAGAGTGTGACTTGATAAGGACTAAGGACTAAAAACAATGAAACGTCTATATGTATATTTATATAATACAATAAACTGCCAGTTTGGTCGAAACAAAAATGGTTTTTTCTTACTTTGATCTTGTTAATTCGGTTTCTTATAAACTTAAGATTTAATGGACACATTTAATTATATATAATAATAATAATTTTCATAAATTTAAGTAACAATTTATTTAAGAAACAAAAATATTTGAAGCAAATAAATATTGTAAAGTGTTACCTAAGTAAGTTTAGAAAACATAAACATACAAAAGTTATCTCACGTATCAAGAATGCGAAGATAGAAACACTAGCGATGTTTCCTTCGCATGCTTAACCGCATTCTCGCAAGCCTACATAGGTTAAGATAAATGTAACTAACACTACGTGTAATCTAAGTTAAGTAATCAAGCGAGAAATTCAGATTTAGAGTAAGAATTAAAGTAAATGTATCCAAAATATTTTCAATAGGAAAACTTTATACTATTACGTAAACAATTGAAGGGAAATAAATGATATAAGCATCTTTCAATTATTTTGAAAATAAGATATTTAATAAACAAGATATTTCTAATAAACTTTAAACTTCATCGTAGTATTCTTTTGGAGATCCTATAATATGTAAAATGTTATATTTAAACTACTTTTTAAATGAATGAATTACGGTAAAGAAAAAATTTTCAGCAAGATTACAATCCGTTCAAGCAAGATTTATTTAAAATTTACTAAGGAATACATTTACTTGTTTATTTGTTTTCTTGAAGCTGAATTTTACATCGAGATATTTTGATTTTTAATATTAATCTCTAAATTAGATCGCACTTTTTAATCTCAGAAGAGAAATTATTTCCACATTCATCAGAGAAAGAAAAAGAGAGGGAGAAAGAGAGAAAATACTATTAGACCGTTGCCGCGTTGATTCAAAGCTTTTTTTGCGGAACAGCTTGCATTTTCTAATTTCATTATTCGTCATCTGAAAATGGAATTCTTTCTTTCCTTGCTATTCAAGGCGCAGATTACCAGAAATACAGCAGGAAACCCGCTGCGCAGCGGACCATTACAGAGCTCCGCACAGTGCGAACGCGAGCGAGATATGAAATCTCGCGGTAATGCATATTTAATTGCACGTGTAGTACTTGTTGAATCAATGCGCGCATGTATTTGAAAACCAATATATTCGATTGATATCACAAACGTGGAATCCGATTGGTATCGGAGGAAATACGACTATCTCTATGGGGACCGAAGCAACGCAAAAATCGAAAAAAAAAAATCTACGATGTGCACAGGATAAATGAAATTTTTATAAAAAATTTTCCTAAATGAATAGAAAAATGTATATATCCGTTATACGAGAACAGCCTGTTCTTATAGTTTCCTTTGAATTTTAGTCACGAATCAATCGTGAGATACTTTGTATATAGCGAAAAGGTAACTTTCTGCGTAACTTTGGGTTAAACCACGAACTATGCACATCGATTAAATCCTAGTTTAATTAGAATAGTTTAATTAGAGAAAATTATGACAACATTTCAGGCGATGTCGACGATGACGACGGCAATGCAGTTGCACGGAGGACACAGTTTTACTGTATATGCACCATGATGACGTAAGAGTGTACGTGTACTTATCGTAACCACCGGTGTCGTACACCTACGGACGGCGCGGCGCGTCGCGTGGCAGGCGGCTTATCCTGCGCAACGCCTAGCAGCACACAGTGCAGCCGCGTCTCGCGCGTGCTTAAATACGCCTCGAAATCCGAGGCAGTTCGAGGTGTACGTCGCACCTAAGGGGCGTAGCCATGCGAAACCTCTGCGACGAGACACGGGTTGTCCCTCGAATTGCGGCCGAGCACGTCGGGCGCGATGCGGCGCGACGCAGCGTGACGTGGGAACGGGAATGAGAACTGGAACGGGATACTTTTGACCTCGGTTATTCTGTGCGAACCTCACAAGTCTCTCCCGGGCACCTTTGAAGTGTCGCGCGGTTTTCGGTGTAACCGCTCGCTCATGAAATATAACCCTCGACCGCTCGCGCGTATAGGTTGACTCATTTACGCCAGAGGCTTTAACGTCGTCTCGAAATGGGGGTATTACGGGGGAGACTCTTGCCCGCCCGCCGCACCAGCTGCGCGCTACTTTCCCCTTTCTTTTTCGGAACAATAGTCCGTTATCTTTTGTATCTCGTACATATTCGTTCTAATTAGTGGCAATTCCCTGAATGGCATACCTTCGAAATAA